TCTCCTTTGTGTGATTGCCCTCAATGAAATAGCATCATCAACTTTAAGGTAATCTTCAATCCCAGGAGGTGAGGAGGTATGTTTTGACTTCAGTTTCTATTAGGGAGGAAAGAAAGCTTACTAAATTGGTGGCATTATCATGGCAGGCAGCTGATAAGTACCAGAGATAGCTAGCACCAAGATACCTTCTTTTTCCACAATCTTATTTTAGAGAGAACATTTGTTTGGTTTTGCAAAAATTTCATTTGGCTGCTGTTAATATTGCTGAGGAATTGTTTTCTGCCCTTTTATATCAAACTTTAAAAATGAATCTACCAGAATTTTTAATAATAAAATTATAATCATAATTTATATTCTGAATAATGTTTCACTTTTGTTCTTGTTTCCCAGATGAATTTCATTAGATTTATTCTTGTATCTTGTAATTCATTCTATAATGGCAACTTCTGGATTTGGCAAATACTTGGCCATTTAACATTATGCCAAAATGTGTATTTGGTAAATATCTAAAGTAAACATCCATCTGTTCATCTATAGCTCTAGTTACGAGGAAACAAAAATTTCACAAATCAGTTACCTCTATTGTGTGCAATGTACGCTGGTCTTTTTTGTTCTATTTAGTGTTTTAAAAAGCCACTAAATTAGTTTCACAATCTAATAGATCATGATCTGCAGTTAAAAATATCACTGTACCCTTGAGCAGAGAGGGGGAGGGGTCACTTTTGTATGCAGTATTTTAGTCAGAAAAGATGCAAGGAGGGTTTTTTAATTGTGTTCTTTTCTAAATGCAAATTAAGATCTCAAGGGCATGTTAAGACTTGTAAAAACTGAATTAATGCTACTGCCAAGTAATTTTCAATAGTGATTCTGCCAGTTTACATGCCCACTGTTAGTATCTTGAGAATTCCAGTTGTGCTTTATCCTTCTTAACACTTAGCACTCTCAATATATTTAGCTTTAACTGTTATGGTGATATGTAGTAGTTACCATAGCTATTTTAAATAAAATCCACTTGAAATGTCTCATGCTTCTCAGCATTTGTAAGAAAGAATGAAAATAAAATAATTGATCTTTTATAGGTAACTAAGGTCTGCTAATTTGAATTGTGATTCTTCTTGCTGTTTAGGATATGACTATACTTTATAGTAAGCAGTCCTTTTTTTTTTTCAAAGATTTATTTGTTTATGCATACAAGAACTGGGGTACAGGCCAGAGGTGTGGAGGGGTGAGAGGATTCACCAGAGACTGAGTGGGGAACAGAACAGGCAGATCTATGGAAATACACTGCTGAGGGGAGCAGCGGACGAGTCAGAAGAGGTCTGCTGCGGCATGTAGGTTACCTCTCTGGCCAGGGATCAAAGTAGTGCTGCAGTGGCTGCGGGTAGCTTCATAGTGCTGTGTCTTAATCCCTTGCGCCACCAGGGAGGCACAGCAGTCCTTTTTGAATGCTAGTTTAGTGGCTCATTCTAGAAGCTTCTCTAATTCTTCAACAGAGAATAAAGTATATTAGAAATTATGTTTGAGTTTGGTAGCCCCAAGTCCTTCTAAGTGCTCTTTCAGGGCCTCAGCGGTACACCATGTGTACTGTGTTTTCAAACCTCAGAAACAAGAAATTTTCTTCTTTTTTTTTTTTTAAGGATTTATTTATTTATTTATGCATATAAATACTGGGGTGTAGGCCAAAGGTGTGGGGAGTAGGGGTGGGGGGGTTGACTGGATTCACCAGAGACAGAGTGGAGAGCAGAACAGGCAGATCTACTGAAATATACTGTTCAGGGGAGCAGTGGGTGAGACAGGAGAGATCTGCTGTGCCATGTGGGTTAGCTCCCTGGCCAGCCAGGGATCCAACTGGTACTGCATTGGCTGGCAATAGCTTGATAGCGCTGTCTTTAACCCCTGTGTCAACCTTTACCTGTACAAGGCCCTGTCCCAGGTCCCCTTCCTCCTCTTTCACCTTGCTCCAGCCACTCTGGGCAATGATTAGGTCTGGGGTCAGCCTGACTCCAGAGAAAAATAATGTTTGGCTGATGACTAGTGAACTCAGCCCTTCTCTGTAGGAGCTGGGTGGGATTGCAGAGAACAGGGAAGGGTGTGCCTGGCAAGGTGAGGAACCAGCCAAGTGAAAAGCCAGCAGGGGCCTGCTGCCATCTCTCCTGCTGGTGTGATGGGAATTGCTTATCTTGCTTAGTCAGGAGACCAGCCCTACTGAAACCCTTAATACCTTTCACATGATATTTCATGCATAGATTCACATAAAGCATCAGACAAAAGATTGGGCCTCCTTCCACTCTTAATTCAGGGTGAATTCCTGGGTGATTTCAGGTAATTCATGCTATCTTCTCAGCTCCATTTTCTCTCTGTTGTATGTAACCAGACTTCCTTGAGAAAACGATCAAGATGGAGGGTCTCAGAAGAAGGCTTCTAAGATAGCTGCTCTGTATATGCAAGAATGCGACTGTTGTTTAGTTGGGATTCTGCTGTCTTTAAGTTAGGAATTGATCAGTGCCAGCTCTTTATGATCTTTTAAGATGTTTTTATTATTTCTTTAGATGTCTGCAAGGACTGTACTATGAGTCTTCCTTTTAATACTCTCTGTTAGCTTGTACACGTATAGAACATTGCCCAAAGTTGAATTGAATAGAATGTAAAAACAACCAGTGAATTGAGTGTTTTAATTATTATTCTCTTGAGATCATATCTGGGATTGTAATTATAATCATGAATGACATCTGTTTTTCTCTTTATTGCATTTCTTTCATCTGTTCTGGCTGTTTCTATTGCATTGGTTCATTTCTGCTTGGCTCACTTTTGAGAATGGAATAAATTAAGACCCAGAATTTTTATAATATATGGATTAAAGGGCATTCACAAGAGGCTAACATCCTGACATTATAGAAAAATAAGATTGTGTGTATGAAGCATTTTCTATATTTTACATAGGATGTTTCCTTGTATAATATTGAGGAGTTGCCTGGTTTTCTATGTTTAGTATAAATCAAAATATAAATAAATCTCCCACTTCTATTTCACTGTGAACACTTTAAATAGATGATCACAAAATAAACAGTTACAAAAATCAGTGATAGTGTTATACTCTAAGTATTTTTTTCAGGTTCTTTAATTTATTTTTGTATTAGCTGATATTGCCTTATCTAAACTCATTAGGTTGACATTGGATCTTGTTTCCAAAATTAGCCAAGGTTTGTCTCATCACTCCCATTCTCTCAAAGGAGCAGGAAATTTCTATTATTATTGATTTTGGTTACGAGTGGACTGCTTCCTCGTGTAACTTCTTTTTGGAAAGTTTGAAGTAATCAAGATAACTGTCTCCCCTCTCAAAGAGAAAATCAGGTCAGCAGAAAATATTTCTCCTGGCAGCTCCTCCTTCCGTTTGATGTTTCCTTTCTCAGGCCTCTGGGTGTGGGTCAAAAACAAAGTTACTCTGCCTGTTAACCTCTATTGAGAAGTGGCCATGGAAGTCAAATTGCAAGACTAATGTTTTCTTGCAGACCCACCTTAGAAATGGGGTCTAAGATGCTCTTCCATATTAGGACATTCAGAAGAAAGAAAATGATCTTCCCTCCTCTCACCAAAGTGTCTTTACTGCTTGCATTTTTTATAAAAATACCACATGCTCAGTGTAATGTAAAGTTGAATTACAGCACCCATAATTATGGGTGTATTATTCAAAAAGTGTGTACGTGCATTCTCAATGTAAACAGGATGTATCTGGCATACTATTCTATGAATTGCATTTTTTTTCATTGCCTATTTCGTAGGCTCTTTGCTATGTCAGTGTCATTGGAGCTGTCAGCAACTTTTCTTTTCAATGACTCTATCATCTGGATGAATCAGAACTGACTTACAGAGTCCCCTCTTAATGGGCACTGTGTCACTTGCCATTTTCTGGTATTACATATGATGTTTTTTTATCACGGTAAATACGATAACCACCAGCCACATGTGGCATTTTAACTTAATTATAATTAAATCATGTTTAAAATTCATTTCTCAGTCATACTTGCTGCATTTTCAGTCCTCTGGAGCATTATGTGACTAGCGCAGTGGTAGAACTTTTCCATCAGTGCATGAAGTACTTAGGACAATGCTGTTTAACATCACAACTGCTTTCTGTTCGTTCATTCATCCATTCTTCCTCATCCATTCAGCATGTAATTGTTAAGAACCTCCTGTGTGCTAGGCGCTGTGGTAGATAGTTGAATATCTCACTCATAAAATAAACCTTGGCCTCCCGGTGGCGCAGCGGGTTGAGTACAGCACTGTGAAGCTGTCAGCAGCCTCTGCAGCATGGGTTCAATTCCCGTCCGCCCAGGGAGATTCCCGCATGGCGCGCAGACCTCTCCTGCCTCACCCGCTGCTCCCCTCAGCAGTGTCTTCGGTCCATCTGCCTGTTCTGCTCCCCGCTCTGTCTCTGGTGAATCCTCTCACCCTCCTGCACATCTGGCCTGTACCCTGGTTCTTGTATAAATAAATAAATCTTTAAATAAATAAATAAATAAGAATAATTTAAAAAGATAAAATAAAATAGACACCTTTTCTCATAATGTTTCTCTAACAGGTTCTCTTTTCCCTCTCCATGATATTTTCTTTCTTTTGGAAAATATGAAGCTCTAAACCATTGGTTTAAGAATATTTAACTACTATCTATTGTCACATTAAGTGTCTCTTTATGTTAAACCCTCACCTTTCTAAACTTAATCATAGGACTTGAAGGACTTTATAGGACAAAAGCTAAGTACAAATAATTGTGTAGTTCCTGTTATTTGAGAAGAGGAAGCAAAATCATTTCTTGGAGGTGTGTGTTTATTCATGCTTTTATTTAACAAGTATTTTAAAAATACATCCTGTATCAGGAGGTGTACTTCCAAAACAAATTTCTCACATGGGCCTTTAATAGGGAATTCTGATAAATAGAATAGATAATACTATTTACAGCAAATTTAGAAATGATCGTGTGTTGTTTTTTCCTTCTATTTTAGGACAAGTTAAGGTGTTCAGAGCTCTGTATACATTTGAACCCAGAACTGTAAGTATTCAGTTTTAACTTTAAATTGATATAGAATGTAAAGCAATTTCTCTGAGACACTTCTGGCCTGTGTGGTCTGCCTTTCCTTTGGTGGATGTAAATAATTTACAGGAATGGATGTGCTCTCTTTTTTTTTTTTTTTACTGCACAGAGGTATGAAAGCTAAGCTACTTGATGACCTCTCTCCTCCCTCTCTCAAGGTCCTAGTCCATCTGGTGCTGATTCTCTCCCCCCACTTTAAGATCACCAGGCGATCTACACATAAAGCATGTGACTCTTAGCCATCCCCCTCTGAATCTCATACTAACCATCCCCAATTCTTCCCTTACCCTCCACATCAAGCTACACTATGATACTAGCTGCTAAGAGCACTTTTCTATGTCTCTGCTGTATGTATTTTCCATTGTTATACTCTTTGTATACACCCGTAAGTCCAGCTGTCCATCCATATGTTAGCACCAATTATGTGCAGCCATCAGTTCAGACCTTGGGGATGGTGGGGTGACAACAGAAATGACAGTCTCATAGAAATTGCATTCCAGGAAGGAGGGACACACAAAGGAATGTGACTGTCATAGCTTGATAAGTGTTATGAAGAAAATTAAGGAGGGTAAGAGGCAAATAGGCGAATGGGGAAAAAAGTGTTAGGGTATTTAGGAATAGCCATTCCATTAAGGTAGCATTTGAGCAAAGACATGAATGAAGTATAGGAGCAGAGGAAGCAGCAAGGAGCATCCTTGGTGGATTCTAGAAAGAGCAGGGAGGACAGTGGGGGCTGGAAAAGTCATGGATGGATGAGGAGGGGGAGGTTAAGTGAAAGGTTAAGTTAGAGGTCATATAGGGCATGGTGGTTTTTTTTGTTTGTTTGTCTTAATCCAAAAGGACAGGTTTATTACATAAAAAAAGCAAAGAGGAAAAGGATGCTTGCAGACACTGTCCCGAAAGGGACAGGTTTGTTAAAAGAGGCACCTGCATAGACACAGGTGGGCTTGAGTGCTGCCTCATTTGGATTTTGTTCAGGTTGAGATGGGAAGCAGTTGGAGGGTTTTGAGTATGAAAGTGTTTTTTAGACAGTTAAATTTTAGAAGAATCACTCTACTGGAGGCATGGAATACTGACTAGGAGCAAAACACTGGAAGCAGGGGTCTAGATAGTTAAGAGGCAGAGGAGAAAAAAAAAAAACCAAGAAGGGAAACCTGCTCTCTTTCACTTTTCTCTCTTCCACACTAGAGACTAGATCCTTTCTACTGTGGGCAACCAGCTAGCTACTAGCTTCATCTATGGGTTTGCCTTGGACCCTGTGTCACCAGAGTAGGCACCTCAGAAGAGGTGGCACTGAGCATTGATTCACTGCCATCTGTCCTGGCCTGCCTTCAAATCCCAGATCTGATGTATACTCACTGTACAAAATTTACTTAACCTCACATTGAACCTCTTCAATGGCACACAGCAAATTTATTAAGGAAAAAGATGTTTGTATAGACACAGACAAACAGACTGTATTTTAAAGGATTATTAGGAATAAGAGAAAGTTGGGGGAAAAAATAGGTACCTGCAGACAGTGCGAAGTCTTGAAGGACAAGATCTTCATTCTGAAAGAGTCAGATTTAAGAAAGAGACATCTGCATAGGCACAGGTGGGCAGTCTTGGGGCAAGAGCTGCATTTTATCAAAGCTAGGGGTGTTCTTTTATAGTGTTCTTTGGGGGTCTTCATTCCTTTGTGGAATTTTATCCCTTTGGGGTCTGATTGGGTTGGTCTTCTATAACCCTACCTCAGATTCCTGGACAGTCCCATAGCCGGTTTAACAAGTTAATCAACCCTACTCCTACCTTTGGTTCCTGCTCTTGTGAGACCTTTTGTCTAAATTTTTCTATTCTCAGTTTCCATCATCAGCAGTTTGTTTTCTTCAGATGCCCCTCTTCTTGACTTGTAGATGGCCATCTTTTTCCCCTGTGTCCACACACAGACTTTCCTCTGTACTTGTCTGTGTCCTAATCAACTGTTCTTGAAAGGACAAGTCAGACTGGATTAGGACCCAGTCTATAACCTCATTTTAGCAATTATTTCTTAAAAAAACTTGTCTCTTAATACTGGCACATTCTGACATATTGAGGGTTAGAACTAAACTGCGTGAATTTTGGAGAAACACAAAAATATAAGGGAGTATGAGACCCAGAAATTATTGTTTTGTCACAAAGTCAAAGAGAGGGCTATCGTGTGACCCCGAGGCAGATAGGAGTGGGAGGCGGGGAGGGAGTTATCAGTTGTCCTCCTGAGCCAGTCAGTGAATGACCATTTTATGCTGCTTCCCTAACTCTAAAATGGAAGCTGCGTTTACTCAGCTTGAGATCTTTGGTGATGTCTCCTCCAGTATCTTGATGATCATCACATTTGTCCTTTCTCACTGACCCTTCTTCCTCTTGTCCTTTGTTCCTCATGATTTTATGTCTTTCTGTTATTTGACACACATAACCTCTCCATCTATCTATTTTCTCCTGCCTGATTGATTTTCCTAAAATGTAGCTTTGAATCCATCACCTCATTCAATCCTTTACTTGACTAAGGACAGAGTCCTCTGTGGAAATGCTAAAATAGCATTTCCTATGTGCTGCAGGTATGTTGATTCCCAAAAGGCAAACAGCTACCCTCCTTCCCCTTCTGGGACCATGCCAGTCTGGATTTGCCATGTAGCAGAAACCATCTCTAAACCCTCTCTGGTCTCAGGACATTGCCCCTGTAAAATACTTCTTCATCTACCTAGAGGTGGGATGTCTCTGCCCCATTGAACTTCTCTGCTTGGCGTTTAGACCTGCCCACCAGCACAATGTTTAGGGGGTAGAAGAACATGGGCTCAGAGTTTACCCTTTGACTTGAGGACCTGCTCTGTCTCTTTAATAGTGATATAACCTGGGAAATTAGGAAATTCCCTAACCTTCCTACCTTGGTATGCTCATCTGTAAAGTGAGATTAATAGTGACCTCATAAGGTTTTAGTGAGAATAAGTGAGATTTATGTATAAAGCTATTGTAACTCTCAAGGAATCATTGTTACTATTAAAAGCTATGCTTGGTGTATTCATAGACATTTAACAATTATTTTTGATTGGTTGGTGCTGATTAATTTAGTCCCCCTCTCCTTGAACCTTCCCCCCATCCTCATTCTGCTCCAAGATTGCTCTTTAAAATATCTTAGTTATTATCGAATGCACAGGAGAAAATAGTTATTTACTTTGTTAGGTGTTTTGAATAGTCTATGTTTAAAATGTTATTATATTTTAAAATATTCCTGGTCCAAGGATCCTAGGCTGCACTCAGTTCATGCTTTATGTACTGAGTGGTGCTTGCCCTGTTGCCCCACTTCACTCCCAAATGTTAAAGGGGAAGCATCTGACTGAGCAGGTGGTGTCTAGCCCCACTGGCCTTCCTGTTTCAAGTGCCCATGCTACATAGTTGTTCAGCACTTTGATGTTATCTTAGAACTAGACTAGTTGCATTCTGTTTCTGAGTGAGAATTTTTGTGGGACAGTATTGAAAGCTCAGTTTAGTCAAGAACTCAGTTTGACCTATAACTCTTTTCTCTGGAGGGATAGGTATACCCAGGAACATGGCTGGCTGACCTGGTCTCCTTGAATTTAGGCTTGAGACAAGACAAGGTTAAAGGACTGAACTGAACTGTTTGGGACTCTTGTTGACATGTGTAGACCCCAGGGAGGCATTGGTCTAATTTTTAGCTAGTGCCCCACCTCAGGAGATGGGGACAGTGGTGTCTAACTCCAGTCTCACAGATCCTCTGAAAAGGTCAAAAACTGCCAGTTTGTGTTGTCTGGCTCTTCCTGCCAACTCATTTTTCATCTGTTCAGATTGAAGGCAAGTAGTCTGGACATTACTAAGCCTTGCTTGGTTCTTCTTTCTTGCCCAACCCACAATCCAATAAAATGTCATGTGGAGACCTGGCTGGACTGGATAGACCAGTATACAGATGTGCTGATGGGAACTAAATAGCATTTCCCATGTGCTGCAGGTATGGTGATTCCTAAAAGGTAACCAGCATGACACTGCTGTGTGACGTAATATTTACTCAGCTTCACTAGGTTTATAGGACCATGTGTAGAGGAAGGAACTGTAGGTTGCGATTCCAAAAATTGAGGTAGTCCCCCAATTGTCAATAACTATGTGTTTTATGGCAAATTTTTCAACCTCTCAGAGCCTGCTTGTGAAATGGAGATTATACATACCTATGACCCAGCCCTGCCTAATTGGTTGTTGTGAAGATCAAAGTTTGCTTTCAGGCATAGGGTATTGGTCAGTGGTACTGCCCTGTGTGGGGCCGGAAACAACAGGTATTTCCACAGTCATCACCTTTTAAACGGTTTATAACACCACAATGACCAAAAATGGCTACACATCCTTCTGTACGAGAAAAATCACAGGTGGTGGTGAAGAGCAGGAACTTCAGAGCCCGATTGCCATCTTTCAAGTCTGGGGTCCATTATGTATCTTCCCTTTGGCCTTGGACAAATATCTCCTTTCTAATGTGTTGCTAAGGATAGAACCCACCTCATAGTGTTGCTGGTGAGGATTAAATTAGTTAATATTTCTAAATGTCTAGACCAGTACCTGGTACATAAAAAATGCTATAAAGTGTTAAATTTCTGTGGAGATTTTGATTTTTTTTCTTTTTTAATTTTTGGAGCTCCTTGTTGACATCTGAAAATTTCAAAAGAATATTATAGTTATTCTAAAATTTTTCATAAAATATATATTTGCATAATCCAACAAAATTAATACCTTGGGAATTATATGTTACCAAGAATATGTGGAATGGAAATGAGAATATATGTTACCAAGTTTGTACTCACTGCTGTAATATCACAGTGGCCAATAATTTACCATCCTGATACCTTGTGGGTTTTCAAGGAGAGGAATGAAAGAACGTGGTTAAAAACCAAAGAGCCAGCTAGAAATATAGAAGTTCTTACTTGATTGTGTCACTGTTTTCCCATTTCTGTCCTATGACTATGATGCCAGGAATTTAAAAGTACATCCTCATTGAACAGTTTACATTAACTGTCCTGCTAGTGACTTCTTAATGGGAAGTGTGACTATTATAGGCAAAGTGTATTTAAAGTTTAAAATCATGAAATTACTTTGTTGTCGTATTGCAGCCAATAGTCTGAAGAATTTGGTAGGCCTCCTCCTTGGCTAGCTTAGGAGAAACTGCCCCTACTTTCTTTGGAAGAAGATATTTTACAGGTAGTAGCATTGTATATCAAGGAGCTATTGATTTAAAAGAAAATAAACTGCCCAGTCTTCTTTCTCAGGATAAAAAAATAGCAAGTCCTTTTTTACCTGAGTGAAATCGACCGTCTCTTCTTGTTGCCTCTGTTGAAAAACAAGTCTGACCTAATGCGTGACTTGTGGTGGACACCACTATTGAACAGTAGCCATTAATTTAAAAACGAAACAGCATGAGAACTATCAAAATGTCTGTACTCAGAGACATTTTCCAAATGGTGCACTTTACCAAACCACAAAGGACAGAGCTTCTTTAAAAACTTTTAAAGTTTTAACTGTTTTGGGCTTTATTGCCTTTATTCTTACTTAGGTAAAATTCATGTAACATCAAATTAACCCTTTTAAAGAGAACAATTCAGTGGCATTTAGTATACAATATTGTACAACCACTGCCTCTATCTAGTAGCAAAACATTTTCATCACTTCAGAAGAAAACCCTGTATCCATTAAATACTTGCTGTTCATTGGCCTGAGCTTTGTTCTTTTCTTTTTTTGAGAGAAAGGCTAATTTATATTGCGCCTTTTTTTTTTATAGCTATTTGTTTGGTGCTTTTTCAAATGTGCCTTTTTTTTTTTAAGGGCAGGTGATTTTATTAAATGTGAGAACTTGAACAGATTTGACATTTGCAATTTCAAAAGGGGGCCGAACTGTAGGGGGAGATGACTTTTTCACTCCAGTGAAAGCACTAGTGGAGGAGGATTCATCATAAGACATACATGAACAAGGTTAGCTCTCAGAAAATAAGATTGCCCCAGGATGGCTCTAAAAAAGGACAGATCTATTCAAAACTACAGGAAACTCAAGTCACTCCAGAAATTAATGCCTTGGCCTTAATACATCCTACTTCATTCCCCTCTCCCAACTGTCATTGCCATCTGAAGGAGAGATAATCAAATGTTGTTAAGATTGCCCACAAAGGCCAGCCTTACTGTTGTGGGCATAGCCACTATGTTCAGCTGTGATGCTCTGGTGGTGACCACTGATCTCTGAGAGTGATCTGATTTGCAGCAGGAAAATACAGTCATGCATCAGTTATTGATGGGATGTGTTCTAAAGATGTGCATCATTAGGGGACTTTGTCATTGTGCAAACAGCTGAGTGTAATTGATAGCAGGCAGAATGAGAGGCACCCAGGGACCTTCAAATATTGCATGCTTTCAATAGGTTCTGCCATCTACCACATAAAGAAAAACATAGTGCATTATAATTAATGTGCAATAGAGAAAAGAGAAGAAAGGATAGTAGTTTCTCAAGGAAACACCTGAAGTTACCCACCCTTTCCTAGGTAAATGCCCCACTTAACGCCCGAAAGCTTGCCACAAGTTTAAGGCACCTTTTGGCAGAGAACCATCGGAAAAGGGCAGAAGGGGCAAGGCAAGTCTGGAAGGAAAGAAGCCACTATCAAAGTACAAGCAAAGATAAAGTCTGCTGCCATTGTCAGTCTCCCCCTAGGTCTCTCACCCACATTTCTTCTAAATGTCTCCTTCCATATCCCCCAAGTCCATGGTGCAAGTCCAAGGCTGAGAAGCAAACGCAGCTTCTTCCTCACATGTCTCTCTGCTCCAAGTGTCTCCTCCAACTCTTCTCTCTCAAGTCCTTTTTATCTTTCCTTCTCCACTCAGTTCCACCTTTCTGATTGCACTGCTACATAATTATACAAATGTAATCATCTACCTCACACCTAGGTTTTATGGTTATAGCCTATTGGTACCACATTGTATATGTGGCTCATTGACCAAAATGTCATTAAGCAATCATGCATGCCATGGCAATAGTGCATAGCAATAGTGTGTGAATGCACGAAAGGGAATAGTTTGTTTCCCTAATCATTTTCTGTATTCATCACATTCGTAGTGACATTGATCATAGATCATCAGACTATTTTAGAGAAAATTTTAGAGGTCTATATTTTTTTTTCTCCTAAGTGCCTCTTTTAAATAACATTTAAATGTCATTGAGTTTGTATAGGTTCAACTAATTTTGTGTAGCTTATGCTATGTGTAAGTCTTGTCTCTGTAAATTGTCATTTAAATTCAAATGCTTTAAGAAGTTGCCTTTTAAAGGAATTCAGCTGTTTCTTGGTATCATTAATTGTTATTTTCTTATTTCAATATTTGAATGCATAATGCACCTAAATATTTATATATTTTGGTAATTTTTAAAGCATTGTAGAGCTGTAGTAGTCTTCATTTATCTTTTGGGGAAATATTTGTTATAATAAAGATCATCTTTAAAATTAAATAAATTACTACTGCAATCATATGTATTACTCTAGTCTGCAATTGAGGGAGGAGTTAAACAAATGGAAAAGTGAATGGCTAAAACAATTTGTTTCACAAGCATAATTTTTATTTGTATAGAACAGTAAGTGCTCAGAAATATCAAGGGCTCTTTTTAAAAAGTATTTTCCAACCAAAATTATGAAAGTAATACATGCTCATGATAGAAAATTTGGAAAATTTTCTAATCATATTTCATATATTATTATGATCTTATCCTATGTGAAATTTTGTGTACTACATTTTTCATTCACCATTACTACATAAACAGTTCCCAATATCTGAAACTCACTCTCATTAGACATCATTTTATTTACTCATAAAGTCATGCTGGTAAGTATTATCTATTGAAGGGGAAAAGGGTATTTAAGTACCTGACTTTTTTCAGAGTTCATAGGACATTTGGTTGGTATAGGCCAGAGCCCATATTGACTGTGTCATCAGCTAACCTCAGGGTCTCTGGACTGAGTTACTGCTTTTTATTTTTCAATTCGTTAGCCTTATTAAGGTTGAGTTATGTTTTAACTATTCTCATATATGAAATGTTCATTCTCTCTGAATATGATGAGATAGGATAATGGTTTTCTCAAAATAATCAGATGAAAGATGTTGATATGAGAGTTTAAGGACTGAAGCCCAGTGATAAGCTTTTAGCTGTTTTTCCTGGTTTTAATGAAAAACCATCCTTTTATGAAAGCACATAAATCACTTTTGGAATTTCTACAAGCAATTTTATTAATATTCTACTTTGGTATAAAAGTGTCTCGCTTTCATTATGGAAGAATATAAAGTATGGGGGTAATTCTTAATTGTTAAACATGTAATTCTTTGAAGTTCATCATGGGAAAGCTCAGCTTTCAATACATGTGTTAGTTTGTCAATGACGTTTCATTATTTAGCTTATGGGCAGGTTTAAGTATATAAAAGCTACATTATTAAGAATATTTTTAGGATTTGGAGTTTGTATACTTATCATAATCATTGTTTTCTAATTCATGAAAAATCACAGGGAGTCAAACTTTAAACATTTTTTTTTCTTTTAGCCTGATGAATTATACTTTGAGGAAGGTGATATTATCTACATTACTGACATGGTAAGCACAGCTAATATTTTGTAATACCACATATGAACTGAAGATGTTTAAGATGACTTTGAGAAATGGCTGATAGTACTTCCGGAGTAGCAAAGGAACAAGACAGTCACAAAACATCTTACTAGAAAACAAGGAAACAACCAAAGACTATTAATTAGGGGCACACTGGAAAGACACAGGAACTAAATTGACGTAGCTTCCACTAGCTAAAGATAGGATGATTTGAGCAATCAATTTAGGCAAAAACTGGCAAGGGTTGAAACACAGTAGAAGTGTTTGAATCCTTGAATTCCTAATGATACTTTAAAACAAATGTCACTGGTCACCCTGAGAGAATTTGAGGGTAACAACTTTTATTCTGGCAACTGTTAGGGAAATGAATCAGCATTTGTCATGCACTTTCTTTATGAACTCCATCTCTAGGTAACCTAAGAGTGGAAGAGGAAAATTTTCTCTTTAAAGACATCTTCCAGTTTAAATGAAGAGAGAATGATAGAATTAGAATGGCACCATTTTGCAATGTCTGTGAAATAATGGATCCATTGCTTATTGGCGGCTGCTAACATTACAAATAGAGAGACCACTGGACATATGTGTCTCTGATGAAGAAATCAATACTACCTGTGAAATAGCCTTGCTGACAAAATTGAAACTGGTTCTAACTGAGCCTCTTGCACTGATGACCAATTTATAGGCAATATGGGAAATAGAGGAATGCTTTTAATAATAACACAGGGAGGCAACTGGCAAAATTCAGTGTGAAACTACTGAACAAAATGTGGTTTCTCAACAAGTATATTGTGAAAGGGCTAAAACAAATGGAGGGGGAACTTGCTAGACTAAAAGAGACTTGAGAGGCAAATCAGTTAGTCATATTACATGGCCCTTATTTAGATTCCAAATTATGGGCTAACTGGAAAATTTGAATATTAATTTAAATGTTCAATGATACTGAGGAATTATTGTCAAAAATTTGAAAGAAAGTCAACCTGTGATAATGGTGTTAGAATGATATCTTTGAAAAAATTCTATCTTTCCTAGATATGTGCTATTTATGGATGAAAACACATGATGTCTAGAACTTATTTCACTATAATCTGAGGAGAGTAAATGATTCATTACAATTGAAAACTGGGTAAATGTAGGTTCTCTATACTGGTATTCCTATTTTTGTATCAGTTTGAAATTTTTTATAGTAGAAAGTTACCTCAAAAATGAAGGTGACATTGAGGTCTTTAGAAAACTGAAAAAAAGGGGGAAAATCTTTAAACTATGAAAAATTAGATTCTGAAACAAAAAAGTCCTTTGAATAGTCTGAACTAAATGTAAATATTTTCTTCTCTTTCATATTATCTCTGATTTTTTGGTGTTTGAGGCTCTGTGATAAAGTATATTTGCTTTTATGGGCAGATGTGTGAAAAGTTGTAATTTAGTGATAAGGGGAGTGGGTTGACATCTGCAGTCACGGAGTGGGGAAGCTTTGTCATTCTAACCAGCGCTAGTGGACATTTCGTGGAGTAGGTGCACACCATTAGCAAAATGGTTTTGAAAGTGATTAAATGTAAACTGGATTTGGCACCACTGAATTGAAGTCTTCTTTCATCAGACTGATACCAATTGGTGGAAAGGCACCTCCAAAGGCAGGACTGGACTAATCCCAAGCAACTATGGTAAGCGTGGCCTGGCGGCTTTACTTCTGTCTGTCCTTCCTACACTTGTAGTTGTCTGATTCTTGAGGCTTTTCAGCTTGCTGTTGTGGTTGAAAAATCAGTGGAAGTTGTTTCCATTCTAGGGCATTTTCTGCCCCTAGTCCTACCATTGATAAGATAGTTATGGACACCAGAGGTACTTGAACTTGACTCTTTGGAATAAGAAAATGCATATTACCATTCTTGAAAGAACCCCAGGATTCCAAGGAAGCACTTAGGGTTTTACTTCATTCAATGTTTAGAGCATTTTTTTTTTTTTTCTTTTAGCTAAATCTCATGGATGATTTCTTGGCCTAGCTCTTTCTTTTGTGATGAAGTACCCCTGTCTTGTTAATTCATGTTTGGAGCAGTGATGTTCATTAAATATTTATGTGGGCATTTTGGAGAGCTTAAACAGGAATATGTGGCCGCTGCCATGAAGCCACCTCTAGTTAGAAAAGGGAGAAAAAAGAGTAAAGTAAGAAGAGTACAGAACTGGTAAACAAGGGACCTGCATTTTAATCTGTTTTCTTCCACTTTCTAATAGCAAGGCACCTTAATAATAGCACTTAACTGCTACCTGTGGGACTCAGTTTCCCTGTCTGTGTAGTGAGAGGGCTTCCTTACAGTTTAGCATGAGATAAATCATTAGAGCAATAGTTTATAGCTGGCATCACACACCAGTTCCAAGCACTGGAAGGGGAAAATTCACTGTAAAGTTCTTAGGGGAGGGGAAGTGAGGGTTGGGTAAGGATCAAGGGCTGAGACTTGGGTCCAGCACTAAAGTCCTGCTTGGCTTGGTCTATGAGTAATACCATTCTGGGTTTAAAGGTTTTAAAACATCTCTACACTCCTCTAAACTTTGAAACCCCAAATACCTGTTTACCATTTACTCCAGTTCGAGGTTGTCATGGACCCTGAGGGTGTAAAATATTCGTTATTTTGGATTCCTAATAGCCAAGGAAGTATCCAGTTAAAGCCCTTTATGGTGTGAGGAGGTGGGTCTAAAGTTGCACTGGAACAAAGTTGCACTTCATCTCTCCTACTGATTCTAGAATAGTGAACATAGCTTCCCTCCAGGCAGGTAAGTGAGCTTACTACCTTTTCTGAACACAGGAAGCAAATTATTTACCCTTCATTCTCCTCCACACATGCTCACAGACAGGGAAACAATTATTTTCTGCCATTCAAAAGGGTGTTTGAACAGAATGTGAATAAGAACATCGAATGTTTTCTTTTGCATTTTTGTCACTAAGGTTGTGTTATTAAATACTTGAGTATATGGCGTGCAGGCCACGGATCTCTTTGTTTTTATTTATACCTCTAGTTAATTACTGTGTTTGTTTTTATTTCTACTTCCAGTTAATTACTGTTTTGTTAGCTATTGCTTAGCTTGGTTTCATCTAACACCAGCTTATTTTAAAACAGGAAACTTCAGTTTGATTTTCTGCTATTTTTTATCCACATTAAGGGAAACTATTTACAAAGAATCTAGTACTTGGGAAGCGAGGCAACTGTGATGAGTGAGAGGATTTAGTGAATCATCTCAAACACTCAACACTGGGTTCACACTTTTCTTTTCAATTTAGTGGCTGAGCAGGCAGAATCCATCGACAATCCTTTGCATGAAGCTGCAAAAAGAGGTAGGTGTAATTTTTTTTTTTTTTGGTTGAGAGACACAGTACTGTAAAACACAGATTTTAATTATATAGTTGGATGAGTTTTGACAAGTATGGACACCTATCTGCAAGATCTAGAAATTTCTTTCATCTAAAAATAAATAAATAAAAATAATCTGGTACTTCTCCCCTCCCACCCCCCAAGAGAGAAATTTCCCTTCCCAGTTAAATCCTTTCCTCCCTTGGAGGCAATCTCTCTTCTGTTTTCTGTTCTCCTAATGAGAAAAGCGTGATTTTAATTAAAAATTTTTAGTCAGGCAACTCTCCTGCCTGGCTGTGACTATGTGGGTGCCTCTCTTTTTTCTTTCTCCCTTTCTTAATAAACCTGTCCTTTCAAAATGTTAACAACAGTACTTTACCTAGCATCATGCTCAGTGGCAAGTGGAAAGTCATGGTCTGTGACTTCCAGAGCTCAAAGTCTGCTGCCTTTGAGAGATAAGTGTGGTTGATCATTTTTTTTTTAAGATTTATTTTATTTATGCATCCAAGAACCGGGGTATGGGGTATAGGCCAGAGGTGTGCGTGTGTGAGTGTGTGTGTGTGTGTGTGTGGAGGGTGGGGGTGTTAGAGAATTCACCAGAGACAGAGTGGGGAGCAGAACAGGCAAATCTACTGAAATACATTGCTGAGGGGAGCAGCTGGCCAGACAGCAGAGGTCTGCTGTACTGTGTGGGTTGGCTCTCTGGCCAAGGATCAAATTTGTGAACTCCTGGTGCAGTGGCTGCAATAGCTTCTTTGTGCTGAGACTTAACCTTGCGCCACCAGGGAGGCCTAAGTGTGGTTGATTATTATCACTGTGATAAGTACATTTGTTGAAGTGAGTTTCAGTTAAGCAGGCTTTAGAGGCCAGAACGAGTAACTGGAGAGCAGAAGGGCAGGGGCTTCTTGGGCACTTAATTGCTACCTTTGGGACTCAATTTCCCCATCTGCATAGTGAAGGGTTTTCTTGAAATCATTTCTAAGGTTCCTTTCAGTTTTAGTATAAGATGATTCATTAGACCAATAGTCTGTAGCTGACATCAGACACCAGTTCCAAGCACTGGATTAGTTGTATGACTATCATTATATATTAAGTATATATTAGTTGTATGAATATTAAGTATCATTGCAGATATAAAATATTTCTATAATAGATGTCATGTGAAAATGAAAAATCCAAATTATTGAAAAATAGCATGTAGGAGAGTGTTGGTATGGTTTAAATGTGTGTGGTGAGGATGGGCTGGTGTAGGAAGGAAGCAACAGGGGCCAGGGGTGTATGACTGAGGACCTTACCCCCAGAGCTTTATTCTGTGCATTGGTTCTCAACTGCCTGTAATTCCTCTCTCTAAATCTTAGGATATTTGACAGTATCTGGAAATATTTGGACTATCATGATTGGGAGGTTGCTACTGGTACCTTTTGGATAATTTGGGGACATTGCTAAACATCCTGTAGTGTATGGTTGGCCCCCACAACAAAATCTTCTCTAATTATAGACATTAGGGCCCATTGAGAAACCCTGCCATAGAAAAATGGGGAGTTTTTGTAGGGCCTCATTGAGCTTTCTTTCATTCAGTTTTAAACCTTTTTGAAATTGGAATGTGCAAAAGAAAATTATTGGCTTGGGATTGTGCACAAGCAAAACTACTAAATTGACATTGAAAATTCTTTTAAGTTAGATACTTATAGCATTAGCCAGAAGATTTTAAATTAATAGTTTCACTTCAGCATATAAAAGTACAACCTTTGAATAGGTTATTTAGTCTTTCTATTCTTGTAAGTACTGAAAATGCATTTTTAATATGAATAGTGTTTGCTGGTTGTTAGGTTTGATTGTTTTCCCCCCAAATTTCAGAATTTCACAAAGGATAAACATTTTTTACAACATAAAAATACCTTATGTAGCTCTTTCCATTAACCTACCATTAAAAATTGATGTTAATGCTTTCCATTAATAAATTGAAGGTCAAAATATACCGCAATGAATGTATTGTTGAGCAAGTCTTAATTTCAGGCTTGCTAATTAATCCATTGCAAATGGAAATTTATCCGGGATGAAATTCATTTAAAAGCAAAAATTAAAAATAAAAACGCTTTTCTTGTGTTTTTATAAATGTAAACTTTTTTTCAGGCAACTTAAGCTGGTTGAGAGAGTGTTTGGACAACCGAGTTGGCGTTAATGGTTTAGACAAAGCTGGAAGCACTGCCTTATACTGGGCTTGTCACGGGGGTCACAAAGGTAATACATTTTCTTATAAATGTCTATGCTGCTGAAAAAATGTGCTTCGCCTAGGGCAGCCAGAGTTACAACAAAGATGAAAAAAAATGTGCTTATTCTTTTCAAATCCTTTAGAACATCAGCCAAAAAGCCTTGTTCCTGGAAGCTCTATAAAACAGTGGGTAGAATGTGGTCAGCTGACTGCATGGGATCTCTATTACTTGAAAGAGTAGAAACTTCCTTCTTCTCTCAGGCATGGAAAGGCTACAGGAAAACAACAGTAAAATAAAAGCAGGCCCCACTATCTGATCTTTAGAGAAAAATGAGGCAGAATTGACTCTGCTAGCTTAGCCATGTCTTAAGGTATGCTTTTATGATTTATACTTTAAGTTTAATGCAAACTATTAGATTCCCAAAAGAAGTTTATCTTATTTTAACTAAAGAGCACATATTTTGTGGTATGAATATTATCATTGCAGATATAAAATATTCTTTAGTCTCCTATTTACATGAATTCTGAAAAATTTGTTATGAGAATCATTTGTTTTAAAATACCAGTCATGTCAGACTTTCACTTTTCATTCTTTAAAAATATCTTCTCGATTTGAATTTCAGATATAGTGGAAATGCTATTTACTCAACCAAACATTGAACTGAACCAACAGGTGAGCTTGCTTGCTAAAAATTTTTTATCACACCTGCCTTGTTCTCTGTGCCACTCATGGGCATGTTAGTTTTCAATCAAAATACTACAATCATGTAATTTAAAAATGATTGTTTTAAAATTCATATTATATAATGTCCCAGATGCCTACTGTACTCCTCCTTGTATATATTTTTTGTCTTTCAAGCTCTTTCTTCTTACCTTCAAGTTATTAAGGAATATGTTTATGGAGCTGTCTCGTAATTCATCTTTGTATGTATTTGGCAGCCTGTCTTGCAGGTGAAGGTTTAAGTTTGTCAACTGCCCCAGTTCTCATCTTCCAGCACCCAACCTTGCCTCCTCTGGTCTTCATAGTTTTTGGTGATATTATTGTGTAAAGCTTACAGTTATTATGGCTATTTAAATATTGTTCTCTGCTTGTATGACAGTTCTATGTCTATATCTATTGACTTATTTAGCGGTATTTTGGGTTTTATTTTTGTTATTTTTTTTAAGATTTATTTTATTATGCATATAAGAACTGGGGTACAGGCCAGAGGTGTGGGGTGGGGGTGAGAGGATTCATCAGAGACAGAGTGGGGAACAGAACAGGCAGACTGACTGAAATACACTGCTGAGGGGAGCAGCAGACAAGACAGGAGAGGTCTGCTGTGCCATGTGGGTAGCTCCTTGGTCCGGGATCGAACTTGTGCTGCAGTGGCTGCATATAGCTTCATAGGTTGCGTCTTAATCCCTTGTGCCACTAGGGAGGCCCCGGTTTTGTTTTTGTATCTCACAAAGACATCTATACTGTTCATATACTTTCCCAAAATGTCTAAGATAATTAGTCACTTTCTTTTTTTCTCCCTGGCATTATACTCCCTGAAGCACTGCCCCCCTCATTCTCTAATCTGAGCAACTTGATCTCTGTTTTCTTATTGGGAAACCCGTTACTCCTCTTCTGTATAATTGTGTCTTCACTTTCCTGGATCTCCTTTGTTGAAGAATATCTTCAAGTAGATTCCTAAGAAGGGGGATTCCGGCTGAGAGAGTCCTAGTTTGAAAATAATTCCCCTGAGAATTTTGCAGTCATGGCTCCTTGGTATGCTGGTTCCCAGGGTGGTTTTGAGAGGTGTGATGTCATTTAGATTCCATTTTTTCACATTTGATCTGCTTTTTCTCTTCCTTAGAGTCTTTATCCTCACTGTTCTAAAATTTTCCAGTTATATCCTTTTATGTAGCCCCTTTATAATAATCATGGTGAACTCTTGGCTTTGAAAAAAATACATTATTTCTTTTATCTATTTTCTTTGTCCTGGTTCTGAACTGCCCATTAGTAGTTATAGTGAACCTCTTGGATTAACCTCTAATTTTTTTTAGTTTTTCCCAAGAGGTTTTCTAACCCTTATCTTTAAGTTTTGTTTCGGTTACCTTTTGAATTTCCCAGAATTCTGTATTAGTAATTTTTCCTGAGAGGTTTTTCACCCTTCAAGTTTTGCTTCGGTTACCTTTTGAATTTCCCAGAACTCTGTATTAGTTTTCGCTTCCTACCTAATAAATTATCACAACCTTAGCAGCTTAAACAATGTCCGTTTACCTTATATGTTCTCTAATTCAGAATTCTAGGCATGACACAGCTGTGGTTATTCCTCAGGGTCTCACATACTAGAGTGAGGATATTCACTGGACTGGGTTCTCATTTGGAGCTAAGATCTTATTTGGTCTCATTCGGGTTTCTGGGAGAATTGAGTTTTTTACACCACAGTACTGAGGCCCTCAGATTTGAGAGACCACCTCTCTCCCTAGACAGTTCACACATGGCTGTTTACTTTCCCCTGTGAGGCCAGCAGATTATGTTTCTGATACCACACTCCTTTTAAAAAAGGAGCCACTTGATTAGGCCAGAAACACCCAGGATAATCTCCCTTTAGTTGAACTCAACATCAACTGAGTGGAAACCTAATTACAGGAGTGATATCCTATTATATTCACTGGTCTTATCCACACTGAAGGGGAGGGAATTATGCAGGGGGTGTGTATCCCAGGAGACAGGGATCTTAGGGATCATTTTAGGATCATCTACCATAAGCTCATTTTTTTACTGATTTTTTACTTATTTAAATAGCATCTCTATCTTATTTCATTATCTAATACCATTATTTCTGATACATGAATTATAGCATTTAAAAACACTTTCTCTTAATCACTGTGCCGTGTCTATTTTGCTTGTTTTGGTCTTTCCTCAGCTACTAGAGGCTTTCCTTAAATACTTCATATTTTTGTCTTCGTTTATGTCTAAGTGTGAGTGGAAGTGGAAGGCCTGTGTGGCTAGTTGACTGGTGGGCTTCTCTGGAAGGTGAAGTGATGAGGTCCCACTTGGTTTATACCCAGATACCAGTTTAAGTGCCTCCTCCTTCCCCCACCTCTGTGGGGCTGCTCATCTTTACCTGCCTGGGCAAAGATGCTATACTCTACACTTTGAGGTAATTCAGGAGGGAAAGGCAGGTGGGAGAGGGGTCTTACCATTCACTTGTAGATTTTTCACTTACCCACTGCTTTTAGTTCCTGGCCTTACTGCTACCTTCTCTTGTACCAAGTTCCATTAACTTGAAAACTATCTGGCTATCTTGACAGGGTAATTCTACCATCTGTACTGGGTCACCTGGCAGTAAGGAGAGAAGAAGGCAATCTGGGGTTCTAATTACTCCTTATAAGCACTTTCACCAACTCACTTATGCTTATTCCTCTGCTTCATTCCTGTTCCAGAGTCTTCCAGCATCTTGAATTCCTAATCATGCTAGGTTTTTGTGGGGGGCAAATCTAGCTTCCCCCTATGTTTCTCTCAGCAGCATCTGTATTTCCACATGTGTTCTGTCAAGTCAGTTTCTATTCCTACATACCATTTCATCTCCCAAAATTACTCTACTCTTATCTCTTGAGTCTCCTGCTCTCTTATTTTTCTTATTTTAGAATGCACGTTTTCAATCCACACTCTATTTTAAAAATGCTATTCTCTCTTTTTATCACCAAAGAACAAGTTGGGAGACACAGCCTTGCATGCTGCTGCCTGGAAGGGTTATGCAGATATTGTCCAGTTGCTTCTAGAAAAAGGTAAATGTGTGCTGATTTATCTGGCTTTTTTTTTTTTTTTAAAGATTTATTTATTTATACAAGCACTGGGTACAGTCAGAAGTGCAGGAGGGTGGGAGAATTCACCAGAGCCAGAGTGGGGAAGAGAACAGGCAGACTGACGAAATACACTGCGAGGGGAGCAGTGGGCGGCAGGAGAGGTCTGCGCGCCATGTGGGACTCTCACCATCGGCCGGGGATTGAACCGGCGCTGCAGAAGCTGCGGGCAGCTTTGCAGCCCAGTGCTCAACCACTGCGCCACCAGGGGAGGCCCTATCTGGCCTTTGTTTATTCTTAAAATTTGCCATATCCAATTGTAACTTTTGAAATAGTAAGAAGAATAATACCCTCTTTATTTTAAACTTGGAATTTTAACCTCTACTCTGTGTTCATATAATAAGATGGAATTATTGGGATTCAGTTATTTAAGTTTTCAGTTTAAATTAAAAACTTCAGTTACATTTAAAAAAATGCTGGAAAGGCAACTGCCCCCTCTCCCATCCCTTATGCATGTTCTTGGGAAACTTGGTATCAAAGCATTCCTAGATGACCTGCTTCTAGGCCCAAGTTTCATAGGTAGCTGAACAGCTCCCTTGCTGCAATTTATTGAAAGTCAGCACTTGACACAAGGGCTTATAAAAATTTTTAACTAAGAAAAGAAAACCTTGATAGGCTTTAAAATTTCATATATTATATAAAGTATTGTAAACCAAAATTACCTCAAAAAAATCATACATTACTTTTTATGAGAACTTATTGTACAATTATGCAGGATTCAAGGGCCTTTGGAGGAAAGTGTGTGCTCAGATACAGAGAGGATCCTTGTTGAGAAAGCTGTATGGGTAAAATTTCTGAGGTCTGTGCTCTCATAGGGACATCTTGTTAGAAAAGAGAGAATGCTGTGACTGAAATGTCCTGCTTTGAGCTGAGCAAGGGCGAGAGATGCAGAATAGAAGAGGATGTCTGATTTCCTGTTTTTACACAAGTCAGAAGGGACAGCAGAATTATAGACTCACTATTCATGCATCCATTTTCCCCCCAAATATTACTTAAACCTTGCAGAGGGCTAGACAAAGGCTAAAATATAGGATGCTTGAGTCTCTAAGTCACAAACCAATGGTTGCACTGTCATTCGGAACCCTGGGAGCAATGTTGTTGGATATATAAGAGTAAGTGTTTTTGATTTAAAGTATATTGATGTAAATGCCAGGTCTAAAGATCAGCTGTGATGAGGATCACTATAGCACTCCTCAAAAATGATGCCAAGAGCTGTGCTGTCTGATGTGTCAACCATTGGCCACATGTACTACTGAGCTCTGAGGCTAGTATGAGTTGTGATATAATGTAATTGTAACATGCTCATTGAATTTCAAAGATTTGGTGACAAAACTAATTTTTACATTGTTTACATGATGGGGTGATAACCTTTAAAATATAATGGATTAAGTAAAATATATTATTGAGATGAATTTTACTCTTTGAAACTGTGACCGCCAGAAAATTCAAATCTATAGATATGGGTCCCATTGTGTTTCTGCTGGGCAGCACTGATCAAGAGGGACTCAGGAAATTGTGTCTCTGCTCTAGCATTGCAGTCTCTGAACATTTTCTATCCTGAAAGAAATCATGTACTTGAGTTCCAAAGTATAATTTAATGTAAGATATGATTACTCAAACATAGGTGTGCAGGTGCTCTTTGGAATTGATGTTTCTGTGTCCTTTGGGTAAAGACCTAGGAGTGGAATTGCTGGATCATATGGAAGCTCTATGTTTAGTAGGTCCAGAAATCTCCACACAGCTCTCCATAGTGGTTGGACCAGTTTGCACTCCCACCAACAGTGCAGAAGAGTTCCTTTTTCTCCACACCCTCGCCAACATTTGTTGTTGCTAGTTTTTTTAATATGTGCCATTCTCACTGGTGTAAAATGGTATCTCATGGTAGATTAGCTTTGGAAACAGCCCAAATGCCCAAAAATAGATGACTGGATCAAGAAGATGTGGTACATATATACCATGGAATATTACTCAGCATTCAAAAAAGATAAACACATGCAATTTGCAGCAACATGGATGGCACTGGAAGGGATCATGCTCAGCGAAATAAGCCAGAGAAAGAAAGAAAAATACCGGATGGTCTCACTCATAGCAGGAATCTAGAAAACTTGAATAAGGGACCAGGAAAATGAATAACTATAAGAAAGTGAAAATCAAAATCAACAAAAAACTATGAACCAGAGACACTTTTTTGGGGGGTGGGGGGCGGGAGGGGAGGGATTGGGGTCAGAATGGGGGGGTTGCAATTGTATGGGGAATATAAAAATAAAATTTATTATAAAAAAAAAAGAAAAAAGAGAAAATAAATGAAACCAATATTTTGACAAAAGTAAAAAAAAAAAAAGATATGATTACTCAGAATTATTAACCTTCTGGATTTTTGACCTGTAGCACAATGAGAGAATTAGGTTTTCCATGTAACTGTAGCTGTGAATAGGTCTGAATCTGCTCAGGAGAAAGATGTTTTCATACATAATTGCCCTATTCCTAGTTCACAAAATGTTTTTTATTTGACTCAATATTTTTGCACTTTTGAGTTTTAGCACTTTAATTTGTGTTTACTGAAAGAGGGTGTGGTTGCAAAGAAAATGGCACTTTCATACCCTGTGGCTTCTAGAAGATATAAATTGGTTAAAACCTTAAGCAATTTGACACTAGCTGGCAGTATTAAAAATGTACCTTTCCTTACATTTCAGCATCACTTGCAGGAAACCATCCTTCAGAAATCCATATAAACAAAGACCTTGTTTAGGGAGGTTCATGGCAGTAATGTTTGTAATAATGAAAATTAGGACAACTAAGTGCCTCTTCACAGAAAGGTGATTAACTTTGGAACATTCAAAAAAATGGAATACTTATGAACACTTAAATAGATTAAGTTGTAATTATGTACACATAGTCGGGAATGAGTATCATTATATAATGTTAAGTTAAAAAAAATCAAATTACAGACCAATACATCTAATAGGATTTTGCGTGCCTATGTATTTTTAAATGCATTCATGCATATGAAGAAGAATGGTCACCTCTGTAGAAGTTAGAAAATGGGGGAAGGAAGGACATTTGTTGGGAGCAAATGGGACATATGCATTTGCCCAGCATACTTCTGTATTTTTGAATCTCTGAAAATGATATTCGTGAATTTCTTAACACAGCAGACACAAAGAAAAATGCAAGTAAAACAGTAGGTGACCTCCAGGTTTTATTGTGTTACTATTCTAATTCACAGGGGCATATACTTACAAATGTGAAATATTAATCCCCTCCAGTTTTTTCACCTGATCCTTTCTAAAAGACCTTCTTGAACAGAGGATGCTAAGGACACACTGAGTTTAATCTCCATAAACATGCTAAGGGGATTTTAGTATGTTCTTACATCCACTGGGATCTAACTGACTTAGGATTTACCATGAGGACAGTAAACTCACTGAAAAGTTTACATACAGTCCTTTTTTTTTTTTTTTTTTGGTAAAGACTTATTTATTTATGCAGATAAGAACTGGGGTACAGGCCAGATTCACAGGAGGGTGAGAGGATTCACCAGAGACAGAGCGGGGAACTGAACAGGCAGACTGATGAAATACACTGCTGAGGGGAACAGTGGGCAAGACAGGAGAGTTCTGTTCACCATGTGGGTTGCTCCAAGGCTGGCCAGGAACGAACCAGTGCTGCAGAGGCTGCAGACAGCTTCACAGCGCTGCACTCAACCGCCTGTGCCACCAGGGGAGGCCATCACATGCAGTTCTATAGGCACTGCAAAGGGAAGGTACAGCAACAAGTTCCCTGAATAAAGATACCAAATATGCTCTTAGTTTGAGAAAGTTTTCTTGTTTTGAAAAACTGACTTCTTAGCCAGAATTGTTCTCTGGGTAGCTTTGCCAAAAGTGATTATTCTGGTGGAAAGAGGATTCAGTACTACTGTTGAGTCTTCAAAAACATCTGATTTACTTTTCTTGTTTTGGGAAAGGTGCTAGAACAGATTTAAAAAACAATGAGAAGAAACTAGCCCTGGACATGGCTACTAATGCTGCCTGTGCTTCTCTCCTGAAAAAGAAACAAGGAACAGGTATTTGGTTTTAATCCTTCTTTCTCCTGATGAAGATTTTTCAGTTTAGTATTGGGGAGAAATTTTCCATGATAAGCTCTCCAGGTGATGCTAAAGTTAAATTTTATATCCTTCATTTAAATCAGAACCTCTAACATAAAACACCTTGTGCAAATAAATTTGAAGAGACATTGATATTTTGCTTTTTTTGTGTTTCTTTTGTTTCTTGCAATCAAGTTCTAACCACTTTGCTTTCTCCTCATTAGAAAATCATGTCCTCTGTCTCCTTGTTTCAGATATATTTTTAAGAAGGGTTATTTCTAAATGTTTTCTTTTAATTAAGTCCTTAATAGCTCTATGATTATGTTTTGTTTTTACTTTAAATGAAGGTATCAATAACTATAATGAAAAGTAATCTAGACTTGGTGATCATTTTGGTATCTATTCTTAGTGTTATCGGTTTTTAAAGATAAGTTTTGTGTGTATGTTTCTGAATATAGAAATAGCTCTATTGATGTGGGAGTATAGGTTTGTAAAACAAGAGTCTGTGTGGTTGTTTTGAGTAGATGTAATAGGAAAGGTGTTAAACACACTTGCACCATTCATGATTACGCCACAATGACTGGCTGTTTACCCTCTCAGTATGTACCCTATTGAATATGTTCCCCAATATTCTTTTCAATGTGGTGATTAGTAAAAAAAAAAGTGCTAAGAAGGTGTACTTTGAATTCTTGTTCCCATCTAACTCTTCCCTATCCCCTTTAACTCATCATCAGCTTCCTGGCCCACGTGAAAAATAAGTGGAAGTGGTTGGGTTGGATGAACACTATCTTTTTTCTTACTTCTCAAGTCTTATTCTACTTTATGTTTGGCACTTTTGTACAACTTTGAAGTCTAAGCCAGTAATTGATCTATTTTCTCACTGTTGGAAAAGAACTAGTATAATAGAGGACTCACTTTTGGCAAGTCTTTTAGTATTGTTACTCATCATTCCAAACCTTTTAGTATTTCTTTCTAGGCTACAGTTTAGACTGATCCTTTGTGGTGGAGATTCATCAAAACAGCTTTTGAGAAACTTCCACTATAGGGACTAAATTCCTTTGTTTCCATTTTAACTTCATGGTATTATCACTTTAAGAGTTCTTGAACTTGTGTAATGAGATACTATTTCTGTTTTTTCCCACTGGAATCAAATTTCCATTAATTTAAAAATTAAATTTCCATTAAATTTTGAATTCCTCGTCTAGGAAAGCTTATTTCTCCTTTAGATATCCTTTGATTTTTGAGAAAAGGCAATGCTAGACTGTCTCATATTCCACCCCTTGCAGAAGCAATGCCCTAAAGTTAGTTACCTGGTTTCCTGCCCTAGTAATCAAAAACAGCAAGGAGCCCCTTTCTCTGCACGGCTGGCCAAGGGCTTCTCAGAATTACTCTCTTTACCTATCATCAAATTCCCTATCATAGCCCTCCTCGTGAACCTATTATTTATTCCCTTTTGTCTTTTGTTCCTGGTACATGTTTGTTCCATATTTTAATTCATTTGAACATCAGATATAGTTTAGCCAGTAAGCAACTTGGGACTCCTTATTTATTTAAGCCACGAATGCTCACTGGTAGAGTTAGTCTTTTTTAAACGTAATTATGTATGCATAGATAGCTATATGGTCTGCTTACTAAATATTTGTCATCTGAGACAGTGCTCCTAGCTACATATTAACTGAGAAGCTATATTGCAGTTTTGTGGGAGACACTTTTACTTGGGGTGGCCCTCCTCCTCCCTACTGCTTAGTTGGCTGAGGAAGTAAGACTATGGCCTAACTTCCTTTCTCTTCCACTGACTTCCTGTTGCTAGACAGGTACCCTAGAATGCCCAGACCGAGGTGTAAGTTTTCTTAAGAGCTGAAGGTTATCACAGTGTCATACATACTATGAGCTTGATCATGACAGGCAAGGGAAATACCATACCTGCTTAGACCCCAGAGAACTGTACCTGGAAGCCTCCACATAAGCACTGAAACTGGGGATGAAAAATTCATCTCTTTTTCCCTTCACTTTTCTGCAGTCTTTGTAGAAGGACACTAGCGCTCTTTTTCTTTTTTATCTTTTTTTTTTTCAGATTTATATATTTTTATTTTTATTTCTACAAGAACTGGGGTACAGGCCAGAGATGCGGGGGGTGAGAGGATTCACCAGAGACAGAGTAGGGAGCAAACTAGGCAGATTGACTGAAATACACTGCTCAGGGGAGCAGCGGGCAAGACAGGAGAGGTCTGCTGTGCATGTGGGTATCTCCCTGGCCGACTGGGAATTGAACCTGCGCTGCAGAGGCTGCAGACAGCTTCTCAGCGCTGCGCTCAACCCTCTGCACCACCGGGGAGGCCCTGGGTACTCTTTTTCTCTGTTTACTCTAAGTGTCTTTAATCTACCTTCCAAATTTGTACTGTTTAGACAATTGGATTAATTCCCGGAGGTAATCCTGGGGCCTGGCATACTGAGACAACAAGTGGTTTTCATATTCTAATTTTTAAAAAGATTTATTTTTATTTATTTATGCATATAAGAACTGGGGTGTAGGCCAGAGGTGTAAGGGTGGGAGGATACACCAGAGACGGAGTGGGGAGCAGAACAGGCAGAACTACTGAAATATACTGCTGAGGGAAGCGGCTGGCAAGACAGGAGCAGTCTGCTGCGCCATGTGGGTTAGCTGCCTGGCCAGGGATTGAACTCATGCCAAAGTGGCTGGCGATAGATAGTGCTGAAACTTTAACTCCTGCACCAGCAGGGAAGCCCCATATTTTAATTTTCATGTTAACTTTTTCTTGTTCTATTCTCCCAGTCATCCAGTTAAAAATTTTTGTATTTGTACTTGATCCTAGATGGAATGAGAGTTTAAATACTGGGCCATTTAGTTAATATTAGCATGAACTCTAAGCTGAAAAAGGTGTATAGTGATATTATAGACTACTTTTTAAGTTTATTGGATTATTACAGAGACAAACTATTTCACACGTTGCAGTTACCATGAAGGTAACTTTGGGTTTTGGAGGTGGTGGTCAGGGCCTTACTTGAGAGTTGAGCCTTTTAAATTCTTTTTCCAATTTTTAGAAATTAGGGTGTCATATACAGTATGTGCATACATCTTAAGTACACAACCTGATGAATTTTTTGTGTGCTTACACTTATTTGCACAAACCAGATCACAGTAGAGATTTCTCATACTCCAGAAGCTCCTTCAGTGTTTTTTACTTCTCTCACCATGTATTACTTTTGCCTGTTCTCAAACTTGATACAAATGGAATCAAACAATATGTCTTTGTGTCTGATTTCTTTCACTTAATAGTATGTCAATGACATTAATCCATAGTACTGTGTTTATCCCTCTAGTATATTTACCTACTGTCTGTTTGTGTTAAGTGCTATGCAAGTCCAATACAGTGAGGTGGAGGAAGAACAGGCGTGAGGCAGGGGAGAATGGAAGCACTGCGAGGAATTATATTACCGTCCTGGCCAATATCCCACAGTGGGCTGTGAAGAAGTACAGCTCATCACTTGGCACTTGGCCACTGTGGGGAATTTGCAGAGAAACTGTGCTCAGTGCAGTCCATAAAAGGAAGGAAGAAGCGGAATTGATATGCCGGCTCATTTCTGTTTCTTGATTTTCTTTTGAGTTTGCACCATGGCAAATCATCTTTGTCTTGTTCACCAGAGAAATGCAATTAAAATAAAAAGCAGAGTAACCCTTGAAGGAGAAATAATATCTCAAATGGGCAAAACACAGCATTGTCGTAACAAAGTAGAAGGGGAAAGCTTTGCTGTGTGATTTTTTTGGTCTTTATCTTGAAAAGTGACTTTTGCTGACTTCACAGTCAGTAGTGGACTGTAATGGAATCCTTTTAAAATAATGCTGTGATAGGTTCCTTGCTTTGTTGCATGACAAGCGGTTCCTGGCCCATCTTTTACATTTTCTGCCCTAGACTTGGAATCATTCCTGTCTCCCAGGGGTTATGGAGATAGAGCATTTAGAGACCAGGGGCTGGTTGTTATACATTCATTGAGCCTCTAAAATTTCTGTTTTTTCCCCCTAAAATCTTACCCAGTATAATCTGTCATTATAGGAATTTGACTAGAGAGTTGAATAAGTTAAATGGTTAAAGACCAGATGTCTTCCTTTTGAACCTGTTGAAGGTTAATTTAACATTTCATGGGGGTCAACTCTTTTTATTTCCAAACATTATATTTTGTTTTACTCTTTTGCTTCTGAGCATACTTAATTATCATTGTTTTCTAAAATGAAATTGAAGCTTCTGTGTTTTCATTCTCTTTCTTTTCCTTTTCCTTCCATTAGTTATCTTTCTACCCAGTGACCTTGCCTTCAGGTAAGGGCACAAGCTGTCAACTGAGTAAGGCACATGTGTACCTGTCACTGGGAGAAGAGGTTGGAAGCACAGTTTTCAAAGTACAGTGGCTTCTGGTGTGTTTCACATTGGTCGTGGTGCATGTGACTGGTGGCATTTTGTGGTACCTTAGCACCACGTGTTTTACTTTTCTGCATGTCTAAGGACCATGCAGACATATGCATCTGTCAGCCTGTGTGGCAGCACAAACTGACCACTGAGACTGAAAAAGCAAAAGTTGAAAAAGTTCTACTCTGGGAAAGTACAATCTCTGGGTCAGAGGGGAGATTACAATTTATTGACTTGTCAGGACCTTTGCAAATGAAAATAAAATCCAGGCAATTTCTAATTTCTCTGTTTTGCTTTCACTCTCTTTTTTTTTTTTTAGATGCAGTTCGAACATTAAGCAATGCCGAGGACTATCTAGATGATGAAGACTCAGACTAACTCCTTTCCAGAGCTTTAAGATCTACAACTTCTATTGCTTTTGCCATTCCAAATCTTGTCTTTGCCAGAAGAGTGTTTCTAACTGTAAAACAAAAACAACTACATGAACATGGCAGTATTGCTCTGTGTTTCAGTAGAACGTGTAAATGAGCAGTTCTTACCTTTGATTTGCCAATAAGTGACTGGAGCGTTTTCTGTATAATGTACATTTTGGTTCACCAGAGTAGAGCAAGAAGAGATTATTTCTATTTATCAAGCTAAAGGAATGTTTTAAGAATGTTTTTCTTTAAAAAAAAAAATCAGGATAGTTTTTTTTAGTTAAACTTCTTTACCTCAGGAATTGAGATATTTTGAGTGGATTTTTCAAGGGGGCCGAAATGCATATTATAATAATAAACCAAAAGACTTAAAATTGTCAGCTATCCTGACAAAAATAAACATTTTAAGAGACTTCATTCTTTCTGTCTGTTTTTGTGGTATCGCTCTTTGCTGGTAAATAAGTAAAGCTTTTTATATTTATACTTACCTAAATACTGGTTTATTTTTAATTGTATTTTGCACTTATTCACAGAAGAATCCTATTAGCCAAATTCTAGTTAACTTCCTATATTTGATTGATTAAAGGCTAGACAATATTTGAGATGATACATTTCTAATAAAATATGTATATTTAATAATTATGAGAGTTTCAAGTTTATTTCCAAGCTTACAGCTTATGTAAAGAAACCCAGGAATTCAAATCTTATGTTTGTTTAAGATTTGCGAGATACCAGAGTTTTCCATAATGAGTAGCCAAGAGCAATGAAATTATTATTTTTTTAAGATTTATTTTATTTTTGCACAGAAGAATCGGGGTGTAGGGCCAGAGGTGCAGGGGGGTGAGAGGATTCACCAGAGACAGGGTGGTGAGCAGAGCAGTCGGATTGACTGAAATACACTGTTAAGGGGAGCAGTGGGTAAGACAGGAGAGGTCTGTTGTGCCATATGTGGGTTAGCTCCCTGGCCTGAAATTGAACTTAGGTTGAAGTGGTGATAGAATGATAGGACTGAGACTTAACCCCTACACCATCAGGGAGGCCTGAGCCGTGATCTTATATGGCTGTTTTTCACTTTGATGACATTTGTTTTCTCAAAGCATAGCTTTATGTCATAACTATTTGGATTCTTTGGTAAAACTTCACTTAACATTTCAGGGAGGGCCTCCCTGGTGGCCTAGGGGTTAAGTTTCAGCACTATCACTGCCATGGTCTGAGTTCCATCCCTGGCCAGGGAGCAACCCACATGGTGCAGCAGACCTCTCCTATCTCACCTGCTGCTCCCCTCAGCAGTGTATTTCAGTAGATCCGCCCGTTCTGCTCCCCACTCTGTCTCTGGTGAATCCTCTTACCCCCATACCTCTGGCCTGTACCCCAGTTCTTTTACACAAAAATGAAATACTGAAGTGTTTCATTTGGAGATTCTAACTTTCTGTCACTACAGTGATAAAATTAAAAAAATGACATGACCTTTGGCATTTGTCTAGATTCCAGCCTCTAGGCCCAGAAGTATTCTTTGTAAGAAGATTTCAATGCTCATTTCAGAAAGCACTTTCTTGAAGAGAAAGAAATGTTTGAAAAAGGAAGTGGGCTAGCCCAGGAAGTGAATAACCGCCGCTATAGGTGTTTCTTCTGTCTATAACTGTTTTTTTTCTCTGTGGGTATCTTGAGAAACATACCCTGAGAAGGCTGTTTCAGGTCTTTCAAATACCCCAACTAACTTTTTGTAGCAAGAAATCTTTGTAAGTAGTGGCAGCAAAGAATAAACACAAAAACTGAAATAAATCAGAGGGTTTTTTATTCTCAAAAGAAACATACTATTAATTTGAGTTAAAAAATTATATTTTTCATAAGCCTAAGCTTAAAGGTCAGAAATTCTTGTTGAAAATTACAGTTGATCCTTGAACAACATGGGGATGAGGGGTCCTGACCCCTATGCAGTTGAGAATTTGTTTATCACTTCTGAGTAACCCCAAAATTATCTACTAATAGCCTCTGTTGATCAGAGAAGCCTTACTGTATTAGATACTGTATTCCTATAATAAAGCTAGAGCAATGTTATTAAGATGATCATTGGGAAGAGAAAATACATTTACAGTACTGTGCTATAAGTTTACATCTTCTATTTACAAGAAAATGCATAAGTAGACATATAGTTCAAATATATGTCAACTATATATCTTTTCCTACAGAAATATTAAGACTTTATTTTTAAATGATGCTTGTGCTTTAACAAAAAACAAAAACTAATTTTTTGGTCTTGTATACTTTGGGCCTGAGGTAATTAGGATAGATGCCATCTAAGCACTCTAATTTTTTTTGTATTACTTTTTATTGAAGTAATGTTGGTTGACACTACATCCGAGTCAGAAGGATAGGTTCACACTTCAGATGTGTGTTACACCACATTCACCACCAAATCACCAACAATTGTCCACCACAATCCATTGGACCCTCTCCTTCCTTTGCTCCCCACCGACTAACCTCCACCTCCGGTAGCTTCAATTCTATAGTCATGTTTCTAGGGTTTGTTTTGGTTTAGCTTTACCTGTTCCATTGTTTTATTTCCCTATATTCCACATATTCGTGAAATCCAGTGTTTGTCTTCTGACTTATTTCACTTAGCTTAGTTCCTTTCAGTTTCATTGATGTTGTCACAAGTGGCAAGATTTCATTTATTTATTTATGCATACAAAAGCTGGGGTGCAGGCCAGAGATGCAGGGGAATGAGAGGATTCACCAGAGACTGAGTGGGGAACAGAACAGGCAGATGTACAGAGATACACTGCTGAGGGGAGCAGCAGGCAAGACAGGAGAGGTCTGCTGTGCCATGTGGGTCACCTTCCTTCATCTTTTTTTTTTCCTTTTTATAACTGAATAGTATCCCATTGTGTGCCTATACCACATCTTAACCCAGGCATCTGTCATTTGGCACTTAAATTGTACCATTACTTGACTATTGTAAACAGGGTTGCAATGAACACATATATTCCTTTAAGTTTGAGTTTTTTCATTCTTCTGATAGATACTTAATAGAATTGGTAGATAATATACAGTAGATGTACTTTTAATATTTTGAGAAACCTCCATACTGTTTTCCATAGGGGCTGGACCAGTCTTCATTCCCACCTACAGTGTATGAGAGTTCCTTTTTCTCCATACTCTTGCCCACACTTGTTTTCTGTCTTTTTGATATAGACTATTCTCACATGTAAGCACTTAGCTGTTTGGTTTTGATCTTAGCACTTAGTTTGTTTTTTAACATTGGCAGAAATGATACAGTTTAGATGAATACATTTTTTTAAAAAAATATTGCCGATATTTGTGTATTTAAGATATGAATAGGGGGACTTCACTGTCTTCTAACATCAAACCTATGAGAATTCTACAGAGTTGGTTAATTAAAGATTTTTGGGGAATGGAAGTCAGACTTAGGTATATGCCTGATTTTTTTTTTTTTTTTTTTTTTTGTGAAATAAGGCATTGCAATTAACTGCTTGTAACTCCATGGAAAGCTTTACTTTTGCTTCTGTTTATTCAGCCTAGCTGATCTGAGCTTTTTCAGAGATTGTTGAATGCTGAACTCAGCAACAAAAATTGTTTCTAAGAACATGCCAATGCGCTGACTCTGTACAGAGGAGAGCTTTGATTATGTTCTGGAAGTGACTCTGGCGGTTTTGTTGTAACCTGAGCTTTCAGACAGTGTGGCCTGAATGCCTTCCCAGTCCTTTGGACTGTGAGATACTTGTCCAGTTTTAGGCGCAGTAGCCTCATGCAAAGAACAGCTTTTGACTTTCCCATTCAGTTTCCTTTCTGGGATTGGTCTGTTGCAAATTACCTGTTGTTGGGTTGTCAAACATTAGAGCAGTCAGTTTGCATTTCTTTAGTGATCCCCACACTGTCCTCTTTTTTCACTAGATTAGCCATGTTGTTACCCAAAAGGAAATGTTGAGCAAAGCAGTGGTGAACTTATTTTTATCTTAACAAACAAATTATGTATAATTTTTTTTTTTGTGGGACCCTCGCCGGTGACCAGGGAACGAACCGGGGCTGCAGAGGCTGTGGGCAGCCTCGCAGCCTAGCGCTCAACCACTGCGCCACCAGGGGAGGCCCATGTATAATTTGTATATATTTATAAAATATGATATAATTTTATATGTGTATAATATATAATGCTGATATATGTAATTTATGTATATTATATATAGTATAGATTATATATATGATATATATACTATAATGCTGAAAATGAAATCTCAGCTACTTGTAGGTAGAGGAAACTACAACTATTACATAAATGCTTTCCTCATAAATGTTCTTTATTGTGCACAATTTTTGATATGCTGTTATTTCTTATTGTGTGAGCTATTTTTCTTACCTTCATAAGAAGATTAGGCTGATAGGCTGTAGAGCTGAACCATTGCGTCTGCTCTTTGGCATGTCCCTGTTGACTTTGATCTTGTGCTTGTCCTCCTTCTGTGTTGTATGTAGCAGTAGTGGTCAGAGAAGCCATACATTGTGCAGTCAAACTTTGAAGTGTCTGATTGCTAAAAGTTGAGGTTTTGGTGGGAGAAGTATTGCACAAGATTCTGCTCTCCCTGTTTTAACTGAAAATATAACTTTGGTGTATGTACAGTTTTTTAAGTGAAGAAAAAACTACAGGCCACAAATTTATGGTTTCTGCTTCCATATTTCTTAATAACAAGTCTTTACAGCTGCCCCTCCCTTGAAATGATATAAAATTAAATAAAACTACCTTTTACTGCCTACTCTGCCAGTTCTGTGCGAGGCACTATCATAGACATGATGTCGTTGGGTCTTTACAACAAACCCAGGTGGCGAATATTAATGCCCCTAGCTTTCTTGCAGAGAAACTCAAGTTTGAAGTAGTCGCTGGCCAAAGGTCACACTGCTTGAAGGTGGAAGTTCAGGTGTGCTGAGTCCTGAGCTTCTGGCACTTGCTGTCCACTGGCTGATGATGTCATTCACATGCTGTCAGGAACATATATAAGAACAGGCCAGCCCCTTTTACAACTTGAGCCCTGGAGGTAGCATCTAATAAATTCAGCATAACTGCTAATTTAATTAAATGTATTACTTAAGCCAACCTTAGAACTTTTCTAAAGGATCCTTCCCTGCTCCCTACCAAAAAAAAAAAAAAAAAAAAAAAAAGGTAACAAAACGTTTTGGTTCCCAGTAACCCTGAAGAACTATGATATAATGAAAGAGTACTCCCAAGTTGCCAAAATTTCCTACTCTGTGCACATTGGAGGGTGAATAAGTGTTACAGAAGGACAGCCTAGATTGGCAGCTGTTCACTTGGCTGTGGTTTTTGCATTGCTAAATTCAACATTTCCCTCAGATTGTCTTTGAGCTCCTGACATTTCCACATAACCATGAAAATAAATTCATCCCTGG